TTTGCCCCTGTTCGGGTCATACACCGGCATTGAGACTTCTGTTATCCCTCTTTCAATCATGAAGTCTCGTAATCTTGTTAGTGCCAATATCACGTGTTCGGGATCGATTGTGTTCCTGTCATTGACCCTCGTTACTAGGAAGCACAGATATTTGCCCGGGACTTGGGCCACTGACGGTGGAAGCGCTGCCATCCCTCCCAGTCCTGGTCTCTGTCTGAACAGAAACTCTACATTCTGGTACTCTCTTTTGAAGTCAGCTTCCAATCTTGATTTGAAACTCATGTCCGCCGTGATGCAGATCGCGCTGGTCCTGTTTGACAGGATGAAGTCGCTATCTGTTATCATGATTTTCTCCGAGTATTCATTGGGTATTTCGAATTTCGTTTTGAAATTCCGACCTATAGTAGGCTCTGGCTCTTCTTCCTCCAGTTCCAATTCGCTCGTTTCTCTCACTTCCTTGAGCTTCTTTATCATCAAATTTTCGGTGTGGGTAAGTCCTACCCCCACTCCCCGGACAAAAATATTTATCGACGTCCCCGTCGATGTTGTCGGGTCTGAATTGTCCTGAGGAATGTCCAGTGGCCTGTCTGTTGCCGTCCATCCGAAAAGAGGGTCCTCTGTCTTCATGTAATTTGCTGCTGATACATCGACTTGCTGAATGCTTTGTCCTTCGCGGCTCTCGTCTTTGACATCACGCATCCACTCTAGAATCCTCAAGTTCGTGTTCTCCCTCCTCTCTATCTCACTCTGTTCGAGATCCGTTTCTACTTCTGGCGTCGAGTAATCATCCTGCGGATAATGACCACCATCGTCAATGACCTGCCATTCCTCTCCAGCTTCCAGTTCGCCTGCCTTCAGTAATTCCTCGCCCAATTTGTCTGGCTGTATCTTATCGATCAAGAAGTCATCCCCGTACCTGTTGTACCTCATGCCTGTGCGTTTGCGATTGCCAGTCCTGGTTTCCGGTGGTGTTGTTCGATCCGGTTCCATCCATTTCGGCACCTCGTCTTGCTCCGGGTCGTTCCAGTCTTCTTCTACAAATGATCCTGCATCAGACTCCACTCCTATCTTTTCATTGTCGTCCAAACTCAAGTTCTCATTACCATCATTTTTCTCTCTAGTGCCTTTCTCATTCACTTCACACGCTGGCTCTACCACCAGGTACTCAAGACCCTCCATGTCCTTCGGTATGCACCAATCCTCTGGAGACGGGACGTGAGGCTTCAGATTTTCATAATGTGCCGCTCGCCCAGTACTCAAGCGATAGAACCGTCCTTGTTGATGAACCTCCGTTATCATGAAAGGTCCCCTCCACTTCTTGAGTAGTTTCTTTGTTCCCTTGGGCGGTATGACATTTTGGAAGACCCACACGTATTGGCCCACTTCATATGGCTTTGCTCGTAATATTTTTTCGTCGTATTTCCTGCGTTGCCTCATTTGCGCTTGCGCCGTGTTCCTCCTGCATAGCTCGTTCAATTCCTGTTGTCTTTTGATCGCTTCTTTCACGTATGCCTGAGGCGACGTCCTTTTCCCTTCGTATTCCGGGTAAAAGAATGTCAGAGGCATTGCTCTCTCCCTGCCCGTCAACATCATGAAAGGACTGATGCCCATAGTTGAGTGCTGTGTACTGTTGTAGGCTCCTACTACCTGTGGCAGGTATTTGTCCCAGTCCGTCATGTATCTTGAGCAGTACACCCTTAACATGTTGACCAGTGTCCTGTTTTGTCTCTCTACCAACCCATTGGTCTGTGGATGATAGGTTGTCGAGTGTGCTTGAGCAATGTGCGATCTCTTCATCAATTCTTTTGTCAAGTCCCCTACAAAAGCTTTGCCGTTGTCCGACTGGAAAGTCATTGGACAACCATACCGCGATATCCAATGCGTTATCAGATGATCACATGTCTCCTCGGCCGAGGCTGTCTGGCACGGGACCGCTTCCGCCAACTTTGTGAAGTGATCTATTATAACCAGTATCTGGTTATATCCCGACTCCGTCATGCAGATTTTTTGATGGTCTATCTGCACCACTTCATTGAACTCTGAGCTCTCAACGGACTTGAGGGGAAACTTCATCTTCCTTGGGTCTTTTACCTGGAGACATGCCAGGCAGGCATTCGCCCATCTCTCGCAAGCTTTTCTCATTCCTGGCCAATCAAACCTGTGAAGTATCCTTTGTTGTACTTTGTCTATCCCCTGGTGGCCCATCTGGTCGTGCGATCTGAAAAGCACCTCCGTTTGATACAACTGTGGCAGTATGATGAGGTTGTGTTTGTGTAATATCTTCTCCTCATCTTTCCTCTTGCATGCTACCACTCCATCAGCTGTGTGGTAGAGTAAGTCTTTTTTCTCTTTGTAGAACTGGCTCAAGATCTTGTAGCTGTCTTCCTCGAGTTCCCCCTTCTCCTTGACCCCCGACTGGATCCATTTGGAGAGGTTACTTGTCATTTTGTCATTCTTTTGGGCTCTTATTAGGTCTGACAGCCTATATCTTGCCTTGACATGCTCCTTTAGCGCCATGATCTGTCCATTCATCTCACCAGGTTTGTGGATGTCATCACTCAGCTTCACGCATATCATCCTTTTCACGATTTTCATATCATCTTCTGGCACCAGATTTGTTCTGACGTTTGAGTTGCATGATAGCTCTCTGTATGGCTTCCTTGAAACCGCAATTCTCTCAAGTTCCTCACCACCTCGTATCTCCTGTATCTCCAGATTGTACGTTCCTGATGATGGATCCGTCTGTAACTCCCTGTCGTGGTGCCTTGTCTTCTCTTCCGCCAGTATCATGCACAGACTGTCCTGGTTTTCGCTGCTCTCATCCGAGTCTTCATCCCATCCTTCACGCTCCCCGGACAATTTTCCTTCTCCGGTTCCTTCTTCCGTGAACCTGGAACACTCCCCGGACTCTTGACCTGGTCCCAGGTGTTCAGTATCTTCCTTGAACGTCACTTTCTTTTTCCTAACCCTGGTCTGCTCCAGAATGTCTTCGGGGATTTTGTCAACTAGTGACCGCACGACATCTTTGCTGTCAGTGACGCTTCCTCTTGATGAGTCAGTATCGTTCACTGTCTCTTTTCTCCGAAGTATAGTGACTTCCGGTTCCTCTTGACCCTTCTCTTGGATCACGGGCTTATCATCTGATAGTTTCTCGAGCAACCTCATTAAGTCATCATCTATCTGTGCAGTTCCTGCTTCTACCTGGTTAAGATCATAGCCTTTTGCCTTGAGCGTCTCCTTCACGATCTTCGACTTGAGTATAATCTCAATCGGAATCCTCTTGCTCCTCCTCAAGATGGTCTTCTCTGGAGGCTCTTTAGGCAATTCAGGATGATCTTCTATCGGTTTGCCTGACTTGTCCAGCCATCTCGTGAGTGGAAGACTGTCGTACGTTTCCTTGTCCATGAATGAGAAGCCATCTTTGATTTCAGGTCTGTCTGCTTCTCTTTGCTCTTGTCTCTCATAGAACTCCGTCTTCTTACTCAAGCTGTCGGCATTCTGATGTTTATCTCGCGTTCTATGCTCAATTATCATGTTGTATCCGTCCAGGCGAACTATCCACCTCCCAATGTAACTGTGGTCCATTGAGTACGTTTTCAGCCAGCTCAGTGCTCTGTTGTCGACTCGCAACTTGAATGGTTCACTGCCCAAGTATGCCCTGTATTTCTCGACAAAGGTAACCACCGCGAACATCTCAGCTTTCGGTGCTCCGTACTTCATTTCCGTGTCACTCAGGACTTTGCTCCCGTACGCTATTGGTCTCAAGACTGTCTTCCCATTCCATTCTTGTTCTTGGTGGAGAATCCCAGAAATCGCGACCACCGACGCATCCGTGTCCAGCACGTACATCCCTTTCTCAGTCGGCATACCCAGTACTGGTGCCTCACATAGCTCTTTCTTTATCCTCTGGAATGACTCTTCTGCTGCGTTGTTCCACGTGAACTTCTTGCCCTTGTGTCTCATTAATTGTTGCATCGGGTATACCTTGTCTGCATAGCCTTTGATGAACTCTCTATAATAGTTAGCAAAACCCAGGAAGCTCATCAACTGGTGCTCTGTCTCCGGTGATTTACAGGTCAGGACTGCTTCCACGGCGTCCGTATCAGGTCTGATGCCGTGCTTGTCTACCATCCTGCCCAAGTATTTTATTGAGTCCTTGAGTATCTCGCACTTTGATGGTTTACACTTTAGCCCCGACCTCTTCATGCATGCAAACACTTCGTCTAGTCTCTCAATGTGGTCTTCCAGTGTTGGCGTCGCTATTACCACGTCATCCACGTAGCACATTACCAGGTTGCCACACTTCTTCGTTACGCCTATCAGCGCGTGTGCCATCAACCGCTGAAACGTGGCTGTGGCATTGCAAAGTCCAAACGGCATCCGTTTCCATTGAAACAGACCCAACTCGCAGGCAAACCCTGTCTTGTCCCTGTCCTGCTTCCTTAGTGGTACTTGCCAAAAGGCTGAGCCTAAATCAAGAGTCGTAAAAAATTTTGCATCACCTAACTTCGAGAGGCTCTCATCAATCCTAGGTATGGGATAGGCATCCTTCACCGTGACGGAGTTCAGGTATCGAAAGTCACAACAAAACCTCAACTGGTCGCCTTTCTTTTTGGCCATCACTACTCCACACGCCCACGGTGACTTGGATGGTTCTATCATGTCATACTCTAGTAACGTCTCGATCTCTTTTCTACACGCGTCCGATTTGTGTGGGGTCATGCGCCTCGCCCCCTCCCTGTGTGGTACCGCGTTTTCCTCAAGTTCTATTTCATGCTCAACGAAATTGCAACACCCGATATCCGCCTTATGCCTCGAAAAAACATCCTCGTTCCGCTCTAGTACGTCCTTGATGGCTTCGAGCTGTTCATCTTTCAGTTTGCCCCTCAAATGTTCAATCTCCGGCAGAACCGGTTTTTCATTTTGCATTTCATCTAGTGTGGGTCGCTCTGGAAAGTTCGAACAGCTCGAAAGACCATCATCCGTTTCTGACTTAAGTGATTTAATAAGACCTGAAGAATCTTTTATTTTCTGCAATCGTCTCAAGATACAAATTTTGTCCCTGTGATTGGGGCAATCAACAACTTCATTTTGTTTTGAATTCTCAATTGTTTCATATCGAGTTTTAACCGGTAAAGCATATCCCAGTTTCCTCCCTCTCTGTATCGTGATCGGTATATCAAGGGTATTCAACAAGACACTGACGCAGAGGCCGCTCTTCGTTATCGAAAATGATCTTCCTAAAACAGCAGCACTTTGACTATTAGGATTCGGAACTATGCACACTTGCTTGTTGTCACTTAGTTCATTGTAATTTTTCATCCTCAAACTTACGATTGCCGCTTCATTAGCTTTTAGCCTCACCCTCCTACTCAAGAATACCGGTGCTTTGTTTTCATTTGCCATTATTAAATTTACCGGTTTGATTGCGTACCTCCTATCCGGGTTCCGTATCCTGAACATTGCGTTATTTAAATCAATCGTTACGTCGAAATTCCTGATGAAGTCTCTGCCCAAAATGAATTGGTCAGATTCATCTAGGTTTTCTACCACGATAAAGCTCATCCACAGGTTACGTTCCCCCAAGTTGAGGGCTATTATCGGCGTCCTGCCCAGCACCCGTAGGGCCCCTTTGTTTGCAGCTGACAGCCGTATTCTCGAGTCTATCAAGTCACCTTTGTCAAAGCCCATCCTTTCCCAAGTTTCGATTGGTATGACGCTCAAGACTGCTCCCGTATCAAGTAACCCACGCAACTGAGTCTTTTTGCCACTTATATCTAGCAGGTGCCCTGTCACATCTGCCTCTGTCCCGATGTGCATTGCATCTTCTTCAAGCATGGCGCAGTGTCCAATCGATCTCACTTTCAACTCTACTTTCCCTACGTAGATTTGTCCAATCAGGTCTTCGTCACATGTTATCATCGTCTTGGTATAGATGTTAATCCCATCTATATTTAGCATCACCTCGTGTGGACCATAAGCTTCAGTATACCTGTTATCAACACGTACCGACTTGCTGCCCCCTCTCGTGAGTAGTGCTCTCAGCGCTCTAGAAGTCGTTTGTGGGCTTATACGACTCAAGTAATCTGCGTACACATCAATATGCATTACTGTCTGGTCACTCGGTTCGCTCAAGTTTCTGGTTACCTCGTGGCCGCCCACTGTGATTATCGACATTATTCTAGCCCCGATTCTCGATATGCCGAAAGGTTTACCTGTCACCATTTTCACAGTATTGCAATTCCCTGTCTTCGTTGAGCCTGGTACAGCCTCTGGTATTTGTTTCGATCCGGTTAATGCTTCGTTAAAATTCTGTCTCTCTATCTCCAGCTTTAGTCGTTGCTCTATTTCTTTCGCAGCCAGATCCTGTTTCACTTTGGCAATTGCTTCCGTCGCCGCTTTCTCATAATTTATCTCTAGAGAGTTCCCGGCCGCGGATTCTATCGCACCATTAACATGTGTTACAGCTTTCACTGTCTTCGTCGGCAATTCCGTGCTTGGTGCTCCTAAGTTCCTCGATTCAAATTCGTTTTGCCTGTTCCGCTGATTCTGCACCGCCGCTAATGCCAACTTATGTTTAGGGTGACTCTGGTCCTTGACCGCTTCCCAGAACAAGGGACAATCCATTCGGAAGTGCCCCTCCTGGTTACAGAAGAAGCATCTTGCGCCTATCTTGATGATTAAGCCACTATAGTACTCGTGTTCCTCCATCTGGCTCATGTCCTCCTCATCTGGTGCATATCCTAGACTCTTCATGCCTTGTTTGTATGTTGTGCAGTCAGCCACGTGGTGATCCGCCGACCCGCAGTTCGCGCATGATCTGCGCTTGTCCATGTCATCTCTAGGTTTGTACCATGACGACCTCTGCGGTTGACTTCCCCCTTGCGTGTTCCTGTTTTCTGAATACGAGTATTTCTTGGGTTTCATCAGCATGTATTCCCTTGATTTCTGTCTCATTTCTTCTGGGGTTGGTGCGCTGTCTTTCGACAATGTGTAGTATGTTGCCAACATTGTCCTTAAGTCGTCACTTTTTACCCCATCAATGAACTTCGAGGCAATGCTAAAGTTTCTTCTGTTTGTCGACTCCTCTGGGTCACTCCTTCTTCTCAAGCTCTCGAGATCATCTAGGAACCGATCTATTGACTCGTCGTCCCTCTGCCTTCTCTTTTCAAATCGCATCATCGCTTGGTGACCCTTCATGCCTGACCCGAATCGATTCAGCAATATCTCGAAGATCTTGTCCGCGGTACCGCGTTCTTCTTCTTTCTTCGCAACCACGCATTTTAATGCTGTGCCTTCTAAATTGCTGAGTATGGCTGTGCATGCTTGTCTTTCATCGTTCAAGTTGTCTTGCTCTAGATGTAATCTCATCACTTCCACCCACGTGTCAATGCATCCATCCGAGTCGTCTTTGAATTCTTTTGGCTTCTTGAATGTTTTTCTTGATTTCCCATCTCTCCTATCGCTCGAGTTAGTGTTCCTCGTGGCGAAGGCCTCTAGAGTCCTGTTCATCATCTCCCAAGTGTTTGCCCATGTCATAGCATCCGGACCTGCGTTGCTGTTAGCTGTTGAGTCCCCCGGACCAGTCGTTGTACTTGACATTCCATTCTTCATGATTGTTTTAGCAGCTGTTGGTGCTATGCTCACCGTATCCCGGGTTAAGGGCAACGGTGTCGATTGCCGTTTGTTCCTTTGTGGTTCCACAAAGTCAACTCTGGTGCCTTGCGCGCGATCCGCTGCCGGTCTTTCTTGTGAGGTAGAATTACTCAAGATTGCATCCAATTTCGCCTGTATTGCACACGAACTCTCGGCCTGATTTTTGCTCATTGTGTCCATTCTCTTTTCCAGGCTACCTAATTGGCTGTTGACATCATCATATCGGTTTTTTAACTGTTGCAAATCTTTTTTGATGTTCTTATCTCGTTCTTCATTGGTGGTTTCTACATTATCTGACATTTCCTTGAGTCTCTCTTCTGTTGCCTTGGCCAGGTTAAAATAACTATCCAGATACTCGTTTTTGTTGTATCTTAATTCTTTTCTTATCACTTCTCTGTCCTCTTCGCTGTGCTTCAGCTTTTTGTCGATCTGATTCAGTTTCGCCATCAAGTCACCTAGCTCAAGAGTAGCCTCTTCATGGTCAGCCGTCGGTTTTTCTTCGGCCGTCGCTTCTGCTCTAGTTTGTCCCTCTCTCGGATTGGCTTCTGTCGTCTTCGTGCTCACTGTTCCAAATGTTCGTGCTCTTTCAGCTTTTGGTTCTTCAGTCACGTTCTCTTTCGTTTTTATTCCGACCATCATCGCCAACCTTTCTGTAAAAGATGTCTTTTTTACTTGAGAGTCTTCTTTCACCGTTTCTTCGGTGTTGCCTATTGCATCTTCCACGTTGTCTATTGGTGAGAATTCTATGGGTTTCGAGTTTGGTTCTTCTGCATTGGGCATTGGAGTTGACTCCGTTGCTATTTTCCTTGTTTCATCAACACTTTGATCAGGTGTCTCTAGATCAATCTCGATGGTGGGTTCTACTCGTTCCCCTTCCATGCCCTCTCTTGCTCTGTTCTCCGCTGTACTCCTTGTGCTGACCATGTTAACTGAAAAGTTCTTCTTTGTTATCTTTGGGCCCATTGATGTTGTTTTGCGTAGCGACGAATTATACTTTGCTTCGGTAGGTCTTTTTTCAGCTACCGGTACCCTGCTCCGCCTCATTATTTCTATTTACAATTGCTTTTATTTACAGTTTTACTATATACACAATCCTATTCTAAGAATAAAATCTTTCGGGAAGGAAGAAAAAAAATATACAACGTGGTGAAAACCTTGTTTCAGTTCTCTTTATTAACTTTTCGAGAAACTTTCCTTATTTGTGGTCTCAACCGTACCTGGTTCCAATTAGTCTTGTTCTACCTTAATTCTGTCTTAAAACACTTCTTGTAATTTTACTTCAATTTTTATACTGTCCCAAGACTTCCAATTGCCGTCCCTACTCTTCTTTGTACCGTCCCAGGCTTCTTTCTCCCTTCCCAAGACTGTTTGGTACCGTCCCAGTACTTTCCGGCCGTGTCCCAAGACTCTTGTCCAAGACTACTCTCCCAAGGCTAGTGTCCCAAGACTACTGTCCCAAGACTACTGTCCCAAGATTAGTGTCCCAAGACTAGTGTCCCAAGACTAGTGTCCCAAGACTACTGTCCCAAGACTACTGTCCCAAGACTAGTGTCCCAAGACCCTGTCCCAAGACCCTGTCCCAAGACCCTTGTCCCAAGACCTTGTCCCAAGACCCTGTCCCAAGACCCTTGTCCCAAGACCTTGTCCCAAGACCTTGTCCCAAGACCCCGTCCCAAGACCTTGTCCCAAGACCTTGTCCCAAGACCCTGTCCCAAGACCTTGTCCCAAGACCCTGTCCCAAGACCCTTGTCCCAAGACCTTGTCCCAAGACCCCGTCCCAAGACCTTGTCCCAAGACCCTGTCCCAAGACCCTGTCCCAAGACCCTTGTCCCAAGACCTTGTCCCAAGACCTTGTCCCAAGACCCTGTCCCAAGACCCTTGTCCCAAGACCCTGTCCCAAGACCCTGTCCCAAGACCACTGTCCCAAGACTGTACTGTCCCAAGACTGTACTGTCCCAAGACTGTCCCCAGACTGCTCTGTCCTAAGACTTCTTCGGCACTGTCCCAAGACTGTTGACAAGTGTCTGGGTGGTGGGACTTCTTCCCTCTTCGTTATGGGGACTTCTTGATTCGCCGTCTCTTGTACCACCACTCAAGCTCTAGTAAAATTTTCCCAAAATCCTCTCTTAAAAACCAAATGCTGACCCCCCTTTTTCTTATTTCTCTTTTTGGCTACCTCTATTTCAATGTTCCAAGTAACTTGAGACCAAAACTTGTGTGCAGGTATCTTGTGATCACCTGTTCGTACAAAATTTTAACACAAATCCTCACCAAAATGCAACAAAAATCTAAGCAAGAAAAAGTAATAAAAACAGAAAGATGAGCCCACCTAAAATTCAAAGGTGACAAATGTC